CCTGGTTGAATGAAGCGATCAGTGATGCAGAAATCGCACTACCTGGGATGTCTATTCTACGCAACAATCGACCAAGTAGAGGAGGTGGAGTACTAATTTATTATCGCAGCGAACTACACATTGATCTCATCGATGACCCAGAGGTTCAGTTTGTCGATGCACTTTGGTGTCGTCTTCATCTAAGCCCTGGGGACGAATGTTTGTTGGGTGTGGTGTATCGCTCTCCGTCGGCTACTTTGGAAATGGACAACCGCCTAGCCTCCACAATGAAGATCATTCTCTCGCAGTCGTACAACCACATTCTCCTGGTTGGTGACTTCAATACTCATACCAGAGAACCCCCAGCCTGCATAAATGAACACTTTTAAAATGGAAGTACAGGAGATAATTAGTGGACTACCAATCTACAATCACATCACATCTCCCACAACATTCAGGACGGGAAATAAACCGGGTGTCCTGGATCTTGTATTCACCAATGAGGAGGTTATGATCGAAACGGTATCGATAGAGAGTCCTTTAGGCCGTAGCGACCATGCAACCCTCATGTTCAAGTACATCTGCTATGCAGAGGATTCCTCAGAAAATACAGAGGCGTGTCAGCTCATTACGGGTTACGGCGCTCTAATCAAACTTATACATGCTACAAACTGGGCACTTCTAACAGAACGATCTCCCGATGACGCCTGGTCTGAATTTGCTCACCAGTTCAACATGTTAGTAACTAATGCTTCTAGGAAAAGACCTACTAAAAGTTTATATGAATAAGGGGTACCTGAATCGCTAGACGCTGAAAGTGACGATTTACACGTATATTTACTTTCACTTCCACCATCCTACGGGACTTGTGAAGCAATCGTTATTTTACCTGTAATATATCATTTTTCATTGTTGTTCATAGGCTCAGAACGAAACTACTGCAGCGATATTTTACAAGGGTCATGGAGACCTGAAGGTTCAGGATGCTTTGAGTTGCACTAAGTAATCTGAAATGGTATCGAAAACTGGTAACCAACATGTCGATCTGTTGCGAAGGGTGTTCGGACAAAAGAAGTTGCTATTTTTCGACAGATACACCGTGCGTGTGTCCGCCCACATATGGAATACGCAGTTTAACCTTAGCAGCCTTGGCAGACGCACGATGACACTGCACTGGAGCAGCCTCAATGCTGGGCTTCCAAGCACACCATAGAAATACGCGATCTCCCATACGAGAGGAGGCTGAAACCTTTTAGAGCATTGAGCTGACAATATCGTTACTTACGAAATTAACTTACAATGGCAAATCTGTTATTGCGCAATCCAAATCATGTGTGTCGACGCTTTCCCAACTCAGAGTTAACTTACATTTGAGAGGTCACTCCTTGAAACGCAGAACAGTGTAACAGCCCGGAGTGGCTGGAAATATGTTTTTCTATTCGCCTGTGTCATCTTTAGAACGCTACCCCCTCCCGAATCTGCCGTTTCTGCACCGACATTAGCAATATTCAAAAGTGGGTTGAATGACGCACTCAGACACTTAACTTTTCTTACTTAGCCCTCTCCCTTCGTTCTACGCCCGGGAAACACCTTGGATTTGTTGGAGGTCATTTTGAAGTACGCACCGTGTGGATGGATTCCGACAAGCGATCTCAATGTTGACCGCGATTCCCACTGAAGTGAATCTTGGTCTTTCGATCACGAGGACCGTAGCTGATGCAAATAGAAATTGTGTATGGCCAGCTCGAAAACACTGCACTACTATGACTCGTTTCGATGTTATTACATCTCGTCAGATAAAGTTAGCAGGCATCGAACCCGGGACCATTGGGATGTTAGTTGTGACCGCTACTCCTAAACCACCGGATCACGACGTGTACTTCAAAATGAAGCCACCATCATCAACCGTTGTGCCATGCGTTGCTCGTCGTGACCCATTGGCTTGGACATATTATTTGTCGACTGTTGGATGTACAAAAGTACGCGGAGTGCAAGGGTACTGCAATAGAAAGGAGTATTTCATTCTTATGATAGTAAAATACGAACGGACTTCTTCACTGATGCTTTTTGATATCTCATTAGTCCATCCAAGGAGAATTGTAAACCAGTGATTTTTAATCCGTATAAACTCACTGTTTATTGCATAAACAATAGCTCATGTATTACGAAGAGTGAGGCACATAATCCTAACAGAATAGGGTGTATTTCTGAGCGCATCATAAAGCACTTTCTGCCTATGGACAGCGATCCGACTTCGTCAGAAGGGCCACACCACAATTTACTGAGAAGTGTGTATTAGGATTATCATTATTATTTGTGTTTTTATTAACGTTCCGCAATTCATTCACGATTGGTTGACGTAGTATCATGAAGTAAACACTACAACATTCCTAAAGTTGGCTGAGTTAATTGTAAGCCACATTCATAAGGAGAACAAACTGAACTACTGGGAAACGTCGGATGTAATCGAGATCATTTGCGAACCAAGAAATGTACCACATAAGCCAGATAGAAAGAAAACTGGACACAATATTACCTAAGCATGATCTAACGTGATCTAACGTTATGATAAGAAATCGGAAACCTCATTTCACAAAGACGATGAGAATCATCATTTTGATCAGGAGAAATTCACAATAACAAAACGTGATTTTAACAAGGGCTGAGACGCATCAGCATACAATCAGTAACACTTGGACCTAGAGACTCTTTAAGAAGCCATGCAGACTATGCTAGAAATCTACTTAAGGTCAGCCGAGCAAAGAGGATTCCTTATGCAACCTACGTGTATTCCTCGAATACTGATATTCAATGAAGTAACCTAACAATAATTACTTGAAGGGGCATTTAAAACCTGGGTCCCCTGAGGCGTGCATTCGGACGCTTCGACCCGTCGATTTTTCAGCAGCCTCTCGGCTCATACATAGGTCCACATGTGGAATATGCAATATGGGTCTGCAGCCATGAATGAGGAGAGAACTTACCGACTTGAAGATACCCCTACACCTGGTAACCAAGGATGTCAAACGTTTGTATCAACTGCGGTATGAACAGAGGATACAAGTGCTCGTTGTCGTCGGCGATCACTGCCGATGATTGCGCGAAGACCTCGTTTTGACTTGCCAGTTGATGAGGGATTTCAACCACCTTTGTCGCAGTCTGCTGAAGCTCATACAAAAATTAATCTGAGAGGTCACCATATCAACCTGGCAGAGCAGTACAGTCCTTTGGAATGCTGTCGGAACTTCTTTTCCTTATGTGCTTGCCAGGCGTGGAATGCCCTACCGAAATCTGTCATTTATGCCCTCAAGTTGATAGCGTTCATAGCCGAAGTTGATGGTGCACTCATTTTTCTGCGGCATCTCACATGACTCATTGCCCATGGCTAAACACAATTGTCTGTTAAAACTTTCACTAGCGGTCAGCTCACAGAATGCGTTTCACCTTATTCACCTCCTGTGTGTGTCCATAGCTCCTTGTGGACTTACAGTTTATAGTATGTATATCGCGCTGAACATACTGGTGTAAGTATACTTTTGTTGCCGATGTTTTTATTAAAGATATTCACCATGATCATCCTACGAAACTAGTTAATAGTTCGCTATTTTGCCCGTATATAATAATTGTTCAATTAGATTTAGAAGTGGCTTTGAAACCCACACGCATGACTTTGCCTACTCTGGTAATGGAAGTTTGCAGGTAAAACTGCAGGCTCGGAGAACGACAGATAGCCTTGGTGCACACACTGAGCTGAAAGCATTCACTATAATTTCTAAACCTTCAAATGCAGTGCGACAAAACCGCCTCCTCAAGAAATTCTCCCAAATCCAAGCATGATGCGTCATTATTTCTCTTTGTATATCTGTGGGCGTTTATTCACAATCACTAAAAAGGAATACACTCTATTGTGCTTGGACTTCAGATAGAAATTACTAGCAGTAAGTTTAGCTTAGCCATCTGGCGTGAAAGGGATTCATTCCGTTGATTTTTCACCCTAACATATATCCTCGTAAATATAGGAATTTGCCAAGTGTCATGATCCGCATTAGTGCTGGTATAGTATACACACAGTACTCGGTTTGGCCTAAAACTTGTGTTAAAAGATGCAACTGGCGGCTTTTACATATGTGAAGGCAACACGTTGGCTATATAAACTAGTTACGTCGTTCTATTACTCCATTATTATACTCCATGAAGACTCCAAAGTCCATACCGCACTCCTTCCAGCGGATCAATTACTCAAAGCTTGGAGTCGAATCAATAAGGCATTCGATCGGTTACTGCTGAGCACCGAGCCGATCTGGCTTCACAGTAGGCAGTTCAGCAATCCATCCCTTTAAATTTTAAGATTGAGCAAGTTTCTTCTTGTATGTGAGCACGTTAAGCACGGTATAGCTGACGTATATTAGACATGCCTTAAAGTTCGCAGTGTTGTTTGGTTTGCATCGAGTGACATCCTTGCAACTCCATGTATATCAGACAATCCTTCAGAAAAATTAAAGCACTCATCAACTTTTCCTTTTAAGGAAAATGTGAATCCATGAAATAATAAACCTCACCTTGCGCCATCCCCTCTTACTAGTAGTCTGAATGCGGCTTGTGGTCAAATTTAATTATAACGTGAATTTACAGAGTTTTGTCTCGAGTACTTGCGTATGACAATGTGTGGCGTGGTTTGTTCCCGATGTTATGCAGTAACTATTGGAAACCGAACTACAAACATGGCCTCTGTACTCCCGATTTCCGACTTAATTTTGGCAACTGGATTTGGTTTTGCTTTCACTGTGCAGCGTGAGCCACAATTATTGTTCTGTTGAGATACAATTACTCAAAATACACGGCTGCATTTCTCAGGAATTAACCACGTGAGATACCGCATCCGTTTGTACGTAAGCCTCCCGATGTGGTTTGTAACTTATAACGGACAGAAGTAATCTGAGTCATTTTATCCAGAAGTATAACCCCAATCAGATAGGTATCGAATCATAAACCTATTCCACTGCATCATGACAAGACGAGAGTAAGAAAGTATTTGGTTTTATGGCAAAAAGCAGAATCTCATCTTTGAGTGAGGTATGTTCAAGAGAACGCGCTGTCAGTACGGATTGTCACCAACTTTCGTTGTACTGCATTGCCGTCTGGTGTCGGTAAGTCGGGGGGAATGATCATTGCTCAACAGGTCTTCAAACTGTGGATAAGAGGCACACAAAATGTTTATTGACTATGACAAGAGATAAAAATTAGGAACATTTAGTGGAGTAAATAAAAATCTCATGACAAATACCAACTAACTATTTGATGGTTCTCACCCGATGACCTTGGTTCATGAAAGACCAAGGAGCCAACAATCTGTTCAATGTCAGGTAGATAACATCACCAGCTAAATCGGCTTCTGTTGGCAATCAGGAGATATAAGCATATTCAGGAGTCATCATGCTCGGTCGGAAATATTGCGGATCAAAATCTGGTCTTAAAAGGCCATTAGCCAATCTGAAAATGCCATGAAGTTCAGCGAGACCGCCATTCATGCAATCGATTTATGCTATTTCTATAGGGCCAAACAACCGTATTAGTTTTAATAGAAGCGGACCAACTACGTGTTGTCTAACACTCCAACGATAGCAAAAGAGTTAAAATTCGAACAATTCCAACCGAATACAAGTCAATACATTAATCAGAATGTTGACTTTTGATGTGCAGTCGTTATTGCGATTTGCGCTTGCCTCACTGCTTTTTGGTGACTGTTACCCGATTCAAATTCCAGTGGCTATATGCTTTGGAGCCTGTTGCATAACCATTCAGCCGTGATAGGTGTTTGAACCAATCGTTTGCCAAATCTTCAACCCATGCGAACGTGGTAGTTTGCCTGCACTGATGATCGGTGCACCACCAATGTCCGGTTGAGAGTATTAGACTGAATTTCGGTCTGTGCCATCTTTACAAGATTTTAGCATCTCTCAAAGGATTTAAAGAATTTCAATTAGGCCCGTCGCTACCAAATTCAGCGATACGAACATGGTATTTTGCGGGGAAAACTAAACCACTAATTAGTCCCTTCTCGAACTTGTCAGTGTAGCAGGTGTCGTTGGGCCACAACAAAGGTTAGGAACTAAATTAATAAGTTCCTGATTGTGATATGGTTGGCCGCATCCGGTTTCGGATTTGCCTGTCACTGCGGCCAGCCACAGGACGCCTGCGCCTACAGAGGGACCATGGATGGCTTGTGCTGCACCACACACCCCATATCCAGTGTAAACCCGAAGGAATAAGACCGGGAGGCATGTGGATGGGAGCCATGTTTCATCAACGGAGCCGGCCCACACTTCTTCACAGGCAAACACAAGCACGCTGTATTTGGGAGTCAAGCGCACACAAGGCGGTGGCTGGACCGTAGTTCGCTCCACACTGAGTGCATGGAACCGCTCTTCGAGGCTAGCACGGCCACAGGGACCATGTACCCCGTCCCCTCCAGCAACGACCAACTGTCTCCTGGAGCCAGTATGAACGAGGTGGTGGGTAATAGACAGGTAGGCACCTTGTCAACATGCACATCAAGCGCATCCACACCGAGGATCTCAAGCGACAGCCATTCACTTGAAACGACAAGATGAAATAAAATAAATCCAATAATGCATACAGATACGGTGGCATAACTCTTCGCTAAATTACCATATGAAGTAAGTTGGTTGGCAACGAATCCGCGATAAGTAAGAAATGTCCACGAGTTACTTAAAAATGCCAAAGACGCAACAAAATTACCGAAGATAAGCACCATTAGCGTAAGCAACTGGCCAGTTATTAGAAGATTATTCAGGTAGGCAGAACAAACCAAATAAAGTGGAATGAAATTTATCCAGCCTATAAAGACCTAGTTAAAGTGTGATATCCCGTGCATCTTATTGGCAAGTACGACGAAAGAAATTATCTTATGGGGATATAATTAGTCTATAGAGGTGCTCCGTACAACTGTTTCCATTTTATCGGATTCTGATCGGGAAAACGAAACGATTTCAGTCAAAAAATTTCTCAAGGAAATTTTTCTCAGGTCACATTGACACATATCCAGTCTTGGTGATGTGTGCTTCGTCGGGCTTTCCCGTAATGTATTTCGACACCACTTCAGTGAACTGATAGCGAAAGTGACAGAGGATGAACGCGCTGTGAACGCCCTTTTCTAATGGTTGTAGCTACCTCAGACCTGAGTGAGCAGGTCCGAGAAGTCTACTCCAGGTTGGCTACTCATATTACACTTGATGGCTGGTCCACTCCCATCGCTCACGTTGGTCATACAGTGTCACACGGTACCGGACGACCTGCCTTTACATCCATACGGTGTATTATGGATAGATTAAACTGGTGCTAAGAAGGCATTGTACGGAACTTGAAACTCGCCAGAGTATAATCTGTGTGGAATGTAACGTGGTCACTTAAGGTACCCGCCACTAGCGCTATCATTTCCAAAGGCTGTTGATTCAGTGACTCCCCATAACCACCGTTTGGAATTTCCAACTCTTCTCTGAGGATCACAAAACATGGCGGGTCAGTAAAACAGCTGGCAATCACATAACACTACATGTGGCCACAAATATGCTAACCAAATTTCAATGGACGGTATGCTTTAGTCAGCCATGGTAAAGTACAATGTTGCGCATATTTCGTCGCAGGACTCGGGTGTAACGGTAGAGGGAATTATTTCGCGGCACGATCCACACGAAGGCGAATCCGGTGTTGATTTGGGATGACTTCATACCAAACCGAAAAAGCGGAAAGCCTTCTCGTGGTCAGAGTGTTTCACCCACTTACCTTACGTGAAGTAGGCCGTCAAGGCACGACAATCGATATAAATGCCATCATGAAGCCACAGGGAAGGCTGGCCAAACATCCTGTGGACCTATTCCATTGGTCGTGGTCAACAGTGATAAGAGAGAAATAAACAAACAGAAAAGAGACGAAGGAACAGAAGCGAGAAATGATGGGCTTTTGTCCGAATTTGTCCGATACAGATTGTACAAATTATCACTGGAGACATAAACCCTCAGAAATATGCATGCTTTTAAAAGGAATTTTTAGAGGAAATCATTGAGATTCCTCCAACAGTTGTAGGAGGTCAAATCTTGGAGATTGGCGATGTGAAATCAAATTTTATGGCCCTGAGAAATGTCGTAGGTGCACACAGTATTTGCTCCAAGGAGGGAGAGAAAACCGTGTGCAGTGTAGAGCCAGTTCATTGTCATTCCAATAGTTTAGCTGCATTCGGTAAGAGGAGAAGTTGATTTTGAAGGAGGTAAACATTCGAAGTGATCGAAAACATGGATGATCATGGTGGGTTTTCAGGTAGGGCCTTCATATGGATCCAGTCAAAAGCGGAGTTAATATCAATATTATTTTCGCGGAGAACAGAGAACTGCAGCATGTGCTTAAGGGGTGGGCTCTAGGAACAAATAGCAAATGAGTAGTATTGCAGAATGAATAAGAGGCAGTTTCCTAGAGAGGAGCTCTGGGACATATTTACGCTTTGATAAGCGTAAACTTCATGGTAATCAGGATATTCTTTTCTTTAGGAAATTACTTTTATCTACTGATACATATGGGAAGGGTAGCAAGGTCTGGCAACAACAGAAAGATAAAATACCCAGGTATTGAAGCTATATCTAACTTGCACCAATTTCGTACGGGGATTCATTTGTCATGATAGGACGCAGTAAACCAACCGCTGTTTTACCTTTAGAAACGAATGTATAGCGTGTCGGAATTTTATCCCTGACTAGATAGTATGGAGTATCGGTTAAGGAACAAATTCTTGGACAGTTTTGCTCGTGATTTCTTCACGTTTACTTTGTTGTTATTATTTCGAGTGCGATACGATGGCAATTCTGCGCGTTGTACCGTTGGGTATGAGGAGTCTACTTTTTGGGTAGGTGTATCGAAGAATATGAAATGGTTAATTTTCATTCTTCGCAGCCATAGTGGACCAAGTTTTAAGGCAATGCAACGACCCATAGAACAAAGGGTGGTGGAATAGCCTAGTAGACACTTAGTAACTGATCGTTGTACACGTTCCAATGCCATGCGATCACTCGCTCTCGAATCACAGTAGATGATGGAGCCACAATCAAGTAATGGACGTGCTTTTATTTTACACATAGTGTCAATTGATTCTTTCAGGTTGAAGGTTTTGAATAGAAGCCCAATGCTCCGAAGGGCTTGAGTTGCAGTGTGTGCGGCGTGTTCGGCAAACTTAAGGGTGTTTGACTAGTGGATCCTTAGGTCATGGATAGTGTGTCAGTGAGACAATGGTTTACCATCAATAGTAAGCGAAGCTGGAATGATGTCACATATGTAGGATACTGCGTGGCATTTATCAGCAGAGAATGTTATCATCCATTTGGAGCTCCATGAGTCGAGAGCACTTAAGTCACGCTGGATTTCGCTTAGCATTATACTGACCTCAGTATACTGACCCCATCCCAATGAGGCTGGAGTTTAACGTGGTGCGATGGTTTGTGTGCCTCAGAGATCCATTGAGCTATGCTCGGTAGTGCTTTTCCTTGCACCTTCAGAACCACTCATACCAGATTGGTCAATGGTTAGAGGCCAGACAAACGCAGCCTCCTGGTCCTCCAGGTTGGAGGTAGGAATGAGGATGGCTCCTTATTCCTTAAAACGCACTCCTTGTAGCCCAACGCCAAACCCACTGCCTTGCGGCAGTGTTTTTGAACCAAATGATTTGGTTGAGAACCCTAATCGTTCTCCTGTCTAGGCCTGGTCAATCTGACAGTATTCTGCTCACGAAATACAATGAACCCTTCATCAAACAATTTCTTGATGTTCTGGCCACCACAGAGAATAATCAACAGCGCCCTATCTGCTGCATCGAGCAGGGTGGATAGGGGTTTGGATGCTACTGCTCAGGCCTTCCCGTCTTCTTATACCCCTTTTTGCGCTTCGTCATCCTTACCAACCCGCTCCAACTTTACTTTTATCCCCCCATTTTCAATCCCCCAATTCTTGGCCCTCCCCCAGCTTGCTTCAATAGTCGCTTGTCTTCTAGGTTCAAATCACAGAGTCGCAGGGCGTCGCTCCAATCCAGTCAACAAGTCCATGTTCAACTAAGCGGACAATCTCAGTTCATCCGTTTCCCTTTGGAGTCCTCGCGTCTCGCTAAGACTGGCATGCCTCAATGTGCGC